TTTGCTTATTATTTTAATTGAAAATAACTGTGATGTAATAGTAATAATAATAGTATCTATAATTATTTCTTATTACAAAAATATATGATATTATTCAACAACCATTAAAACACATTTATTTATGCCGAAAAACTAATTGCCAACAATTTCTATATATGCCTACATACATTTGTGTTTAAAAAATTGCCGTAACAGGAAGCTAACCAAAATTACCCAGTAATTACTCGGTGACTAACCGAAACTTAAGAATCAATTGAAACATGCGAACGGAAGTTCAAGCGCTCAGCTGAGTACGCGGCTTGTAGAAAACAGCACATACCACTGCGTACTGTAAGTAGACGAAGGGCAATGTCATTGTCACTGGCAAATAGTCTCATGCATTAAAACCGAACTTTTATTAGCATAGCTTCTAAATTAGCAATAATAACAACAAACACGCTGATGAATGTGGGTAATACCTTACCTTTTTTTCTAAAAATAAAAATATAAATATACATATACCACAACAATAAGCACTTTCAAACATTATGTGCTGAGAGCCGTCCAGTCAGCCAGCTCCTTGTAGCTCAACAATGTACGCGTGCGCGTCTTGCATACGAAAAAATCAGCGTCTGATGGCGTCATCGACAACAGCTAGCAACTAATAGCCAATAGCTACTGGTATTTCAGTGGTGATGACGCGCTGGAATTTCTACCAACCTACCAAGTGCCCCCATGAGTGCTTATGTGTGGATGTACATATGTATGTACTCATAGCAAGTAATCAAAATAATAAATAACAGAAAAATTTGTTGAAAAGCGATAAGCATAAGCATTTAAGTTAAACATCGACAGCGTGAACTTCAAATTTTAAACAATTCGATTATTTTACGGCTTAGCGCGATTGAAGACAATGCGAATTCGCCATAAAAATGCCAATGCCAGCGTGTGTACGATTATGCAAGAATGGCTAACTGCCTGTTAGCGGTCATAGAAAATGTTTGTTGTTGTGCTGTCTTTCTGTTAACATTTTGGTCTCAAATTTTTTTGTTTCAAGTTTTTTTTTTTTTTTGTTTTTTAATTTTGATTTTTTTGTTTGCCTTTGCCAAGCCAAAAGTGCGACGCCTGTCCAGACTGCGATGACTACTTGACTTCTACGCCTCTTAACACCTCCTTACAATATTTTTGAAATGAATTTTGCACCAACAAACATCTTGAGAGCAAATAAATAAATGGAGGAACGAAATGAGAGTGTGTGTGTGTGGGCCGACTGCCAAGCTTGTGCACTTGCGCACAGTAGCTATTTTATGCTTGCACTTGCACGCCTACAAATACACAAACGTGCATATATATATAATACAAACAAGCACATACACATATGTAATAATACAAGTATTTATATGCACATTTTTTCGCACATCCATTGAAGGTTATTAATAGAGGTTGCTTGTCGTTGTTATCGGCCAGCGTTGGCTYTTGCCCATACACACACACACATACTGGTCATATATCGATATAAATAGTTATGTTCATTCAATTGGCCACTTTGTTGTTGCAGTTGCTGTAGTTCAACGCATGCTAATTGCTTTTAATTTCCATCAGTTAGCTAGCTACGTGGCTACTACTTGTCAATATGTGAGTGACCACAATAACCACAATGACGGCTGTTGAACTTTATTGGTATTTGTTGTTGTTAGTGTTGTTATGGRCCTATTATCACAAGTACACCGTGCGAGAAAAATAAAAGCAAACAATTTTTGATATAATTTCTATATTTTTGTTTAATACAAAAGCTTAGAGTTTTTGTGGAAAAAGCATAAAATTAGTAAAGTAGTTTCGGACTAGGTCTTTATAGATATCATTTTATATTTGAYTTAGTAAATAGCTTTTAACGTCTATTAGCCCAAATCGTTTTGGTTTTGCCCTTAATTGGCATTCAATYAACGGCACATATTATTYTAASTCCATCTAACGTTTKAGAAATATTGAAAATTCTTTTGACCAGTTCAAATAAATTAATATTAAGAGAAATCAGTATTAAAAACAAACTAGTTCAGTGTCAAACTAAGTAATTTAGAGCCAGTTTGTTTATAAATTTTTTAATTCATAAAGCTATCAAAACTCTTAAATTTTACTAAAAATTTAAAAATTGGTTACAAAGACACCAGTTGAAGATTACTTTGTCTAATTAGCCGTTGGTAACTAATTTTTTAGTTGTATAAAAGTGATGAATATTTAATCAACGATTTAATTGTAAAAAAATGGTTTAATAAAAACCAATTAAACTGAAATAACATTCAATAATTATAAAAAATGTTGCTATTTAAACTTTATGAAAAATACTTTTTTTAATATTTAAAATTGTTAATATAAAAATTGT